AGTCAAGTCATCTCTATGGAGGGTGGTTTTAAACTCAAAGCACCGTTAAAGAATCATTTCCCCAATATGATTATTTGAAGGACCAAGGGATAGAACCCGTCACACAGTTATCTCTAACTTCATTCAATGAACACATTAATTTGGATTTTTTTCTTAAAACTTCCCAAGAGGAATTTGAGATTGATCCTAAGCTTCTCTTGATCATGACAATTCAAGAAAAAAGCATTCTAATATAGCAAAGAGTAACAAACTATTAAACAAGTAATATAAATTTCTTTTTAATGTCAATTCCTACTTCGTTAGAAAAATGTACTGGTGCCATCTGTTGCAACTAGTTGTAACTGCGACAGAAATAAAGCAGAATAAATTTAACATTAAAAAATAAAATTTAATTAATGAATTAATATTTGAAAAAAGCTGTATTAACATCAAGTGCCATCTAATACAAGTTTAATTTTTTTATTTTGAACTTGAATCGATAAATAGAAAGTATTTTATTCCCGATTGAAAATTTGAACAAGGTAATTTTATATATATGTTACGGTGGAACACCGAATTCGTAAGAGTGTCGATTTTCACCGGTCAATGTCAACATTCACATTGTCGCTTGGTGTATGTCCAAATATTTGCTAAATACCCTTATTTCTGACTTACCGGTAAATTTCAACATTACCATGTAGAACCAATTAGACCAATAGTGAATGTTGAACATTCGGACATTTATATTTTCTTCTCCGTAATTTGTCGCGATAAATTTTTCCCCTCTCTTTCTGAGAGGAATGACGAAGAACTTAAAACACAGAGTACATTCAAAATGAGAAAGGAAAATAATAGAAGTTAAAAACTTACTTAATTATACAGTACGTCTATATAAAAATGCCAAATAAAATAAAAACAATGAAAAGCTTACTAAATTATGTGTTTCAAATCTTATTTATTGCAACAACTTAAACTTTCATCGCACTTTAAATTGCACGAAGTCCTTGCTTTTACAACTGCATTTATTTGTGCAACACTTCCTTTTACAATGACAGCTGTATAGTTTTACCCACCGTTTATCAAATTAGCTGTTTCTCTCTGTGACATTTCTTGGTCTGTAATCCAAAGGTTGTTGCACTTAGTTTTAGCAGAAACCACTTCAGAAAGTATTTCCGAGTACTTCTGAACTGTCAAAATTGAAACAATTGTCTTCTCGTTTACCCGCAATTAATGCATTTAACTTTTCAAGAAAAAGATAAATTAGGGTATCGGGAAAAAGAAATTAAGAAAACGTTTTGTTCGCACCATCAAACCTTACATAAGACTGACAAAGCTGACTGACTCCCAGCAGAACAAAGGATTTGGCGGGAAACAGCCAGTCGCCTCTTTGTCGTCTCCTCTCTTTTCAACCTCCACCAGAGCATATCTTTAATTGTCGACATACATCGGTGAAAGTCCGCATGTACAAGATTGCAATACAATATTCGATTTTTCACCGACGTATTTGGTGTGTGTCGACATTTACCGGTGAAAGTCGACATTCTCCAATTTTGGACATCTACAGTAACGTGTATATATATATATATATATATATATATATATATATATATATATATATATATGCATAGGGAGAAAGTGAACTAATAGTAGGAATTGAAAAAGACAGACACAATGTAGCTCCATCTAAACTGGAAGCACCAATATTCTTTACTTTCCATCTCCATTGTCTTTTACTGGTGCCACTGAAGACCCACCTTGTAGAGGAACTGATACACGTTAAGTAAGTAGAGTTCAAAGTCATCCCGGTGGTGTAGTAATTAGGAGAGAATGGTGTTAGGTTATAGGTGTCACCCTCGCCACTTGACCGTGGCTAAAAATTACGAGATCTGTCACTAATAAACCTCGTGTTGTTTTATAGTTATATATAACTCTCGTTCACATTCACTGTCTTATAAAAAAAGATGCAATATACAACCCTCAGTAAAATGAATAACATTCCATTTATCATACTATAACTTAAACTATTTCCAAAACCAAATAAAAATAAGCTTTGAGATTTTATACCTAAAAATCATTACTAAAATGAAATTTCGAAAAGTTAATAAAACATGAAAAAGAAATGCTATTTTATGCAGTTAAAAACAGAAAAGTTCCTTTTGCATTTAATGCTTTCATATTTTGTCACATTCAAAATCTATTAACATTATTTGTATGCATATTAATATTGACTACATAATGTCTGCACTTATTTGAAAAAAACTGAATATTATTTTTTCATAAGAATATATATTGAAAGCACCAGATTCGATATCATATATAGTGTAATTTAAGAAAAAAAGGTCATCAATTTAACTATACACGTGATATATTTTTATATATTTAGAGCTAAAACAGTTTTCTTAGTGAATATTAAATCTTATCAGGTTTTATTTCCGCATATTGAGATTTTTAAGTTTAATGTTTCTTAAGTTTTGAAAGTATCATGTATTTTAATACAATTATTAAGGACTTTTATATATTTTTCATCTTCAATAAGGTTAAAGTTCAAATCACAATCAAATGTAATTTTCTTTAAGAAAAATTAAATAAATTTTTTACTAAAGGAGTTTTAAGTAGTCAGCAGATTATTTGGTAGGGTTTATTAAATTTTTCTCATTCATTCATATTTTTATTTTTAATCTCTCAGGTGCATATCATATTCATAATTAAAAAAGATTCGAAAAGAAAATGGTTCCTTAGAGTGTACTTTTACCAGAAAATAATTGTTTTGAATTTTGTGAAGTATTATACTCATGATCCATAAGCGACAAACAGAACGTAAAACCAAAAATTAATTAAAAACTTTAATTAAACTCACGTAACTAAACACAAATACCGCTATAATAATTTTGTGGAATGGTCATTGTTCCACATTCCAAGCTATGAAAAATTTAGTTCCTCATCTGTGAAAACAGAAAAAAAAAAAAAAAAAAAAACTTATATATACCTTGAAATTATTTTTAACGTTCATTGCATTATGTGAAGAGAGTTTTAAAATTCTAAAAAAAGTACCTATAAAATATTTTTAATAATGCTGTTGATATAAAAATGTGCAAAATTAAAGATTTTTAAATTAAAATTTGTAACCGCGAAAAAGTTAGAGCTTGCGAAGTTATATCTAAGGATTAAATACAAAAATGATATTGTAATGAGATATTAGATATGTAACAAGATACATGATATATTCGGTGTATTATACGTACTGGTTTTTCATAAAAAAAAATAGAATCTGTGATTAACAAGCTTTCGAACCCAGGTGGGCTCGAACCAACTACCTTTCAGATAACAGCCGTACGCACTAGCCGATTGCGCATCGGAGCCTCGACTGCTAAGGAAAAAAGAAAAATTGATGTCAAAATCTTTCATGAGCTTAAAATTCGCAACCGCGAAAATTGTATTATTTTCAAAGTGTGTGTTTTGTCTAAGGTTTAAATACCAGAACTGCAAAAAAAGATGTTGCAATGATATACTAGGTGTCACATGGTATTCAGTGTGTGTTACACATACTGGATTTTCATGAAGTAAACAGCCTCTTTGCTTTAAAAAGCTTTAGCCCCAGGGTGGGTTCGAACCACCAACCTTTCAATTAACAGCCGAACACGCTAGCCGATTGTGCTACGGATAGATTGCTTGAATATTAACGTCGCACTTTTCAGCTACACGAGGGCTTTTGGCGACGGACCACGTAATTTTGAACCATGGTAAAGTGACGTGGACGACACCTGAGCTGGCACCCCACTCTCCTAACTACAACACCACACCAACGGAAGGATATTGATTGTGCTACGGAGGCTCGGTCAGAAAGAAAAAGAAAAATTGATGTCATATTCTTTCATGCGCTTAAAATTTGTAACCATGAAAAAGTTATTATTTGGAAAGTTATGACGATGGTTTAATTACCAGAACTGCAAAAAAATTATATCACAATGGCATACTAGGTGTAACATGGTATTCGGGGTGTATTATACGTAATGGATTTTAATGAAGTTTATATATATAAGCAGACTTTTTGCTTTAAAAAGCTTTCGGCCCCGGATTGGTTCAAGCCACCAACCTTTTCGTTAACAGCCGATCGCGCTAGCCGATTGAGCCAAAGAGACTGTTACAAACAAAAAAAAAATTGATGTCTTAATCTTTCATGAGCTTAAAATTTAGAACAAGGAAAAAGTTATTTACAAAGTTAAGTCTAAGGTTTAAATACCAGAACTTCAAAAAATGATGTTGCAATGACATACTACGTGTAACTTTGGATACGATGTGTACTATAAGCACTGGATTTTCATATAAAGGGGTAATATATATATATATATATATATATATATATATATATATATATATATATATATATATATATATATATAAACTGCTTCTTTGAATTAAAAAGGTTTCGCCCCCGCGTGGGCTAGAACCACCAACCTTACGGTTAACAGCCAAACTCGCAAACCATTTGCGCCACGGAGGCTCGGTCGGATGCAGAAAAAGTAAAATTTAATGTGTTATCTTTCATGGCCTTAAATTTGTAACCGCAAAAAAATATTATTTGCAAAGTTATGACGCAGGTTTAAATACCAAAACTGCAAAAAATAATGCCGTACTGGCATACTAGATATAACATGATATTAAGTGTGTATTATATGTACTGGATTTTCATAAAAAAAACAGCCTTTTTGCATTAAAATGCATTGAAATCAGGGTGGGTTCGAACCACTAACATTTCGGTTAATAGCCAAATGCGCTAGCCGATCTCGTTAAGAAGTCTCCGTTATAATGCGAAAAAGAATTATTGATGTCATAATCTTTCACAAGATTAAAATTTGCAACTGCTTTAATGTTATTTTTTGCAAAGTTGTCTAAGGTTTAAATACTAGAACTGTAAAAAATGATCTTGCAATGACCTACTAGGTGTCACATGGTATTAGGTGTGTGTTACACGTACTGGATTTTAATAAAGTATAAACTGCCTCTTTGCATTAAAAAGCATTCGTCTGCAGGTGGACTCAAACCACCAACCTTTCGGTTAGGAGCCGAACGCGCTAGCCTTTTGCGCCACGGAGGGTCTGGCACAAAGAAGAAAAGAAAAAAATTGATGTAATAATCTTTCATAAGTTTAAATTTTTGGAACAGGACAAAATTATTATTTGCAAAGTTATGTCTAAAGTTTAAATACCAGAACTGTAAAAAATGATGTTGCAATGATATACTAGGTGTAACATGGTATGCGGTATGTATTATACATACTGGATTTTCATAAATTAAACAGCCACTTTGCATAAGAAAAAGTTCGCACCTAGGTGGACTTGAACCACCAACCTTTCGGTTAACAGCCGAACGCGATAGCCGCTTGCGCCACGGAGGCTCCGTTGCAGAGGAAAAACGAAAAATTCATGTCAAAATCTTTCATGAGCTTAAAATTTGGAACAGGGAAAAAGTTATAATTTGCAAAGTTATGTCTAAGGTTTAAAGACCAGAACTGTAAAAAATGAAAATGCAATGACATACTAGGTGTAACATGGTATTTAATGTGCATTAAACGTGCTGGATTTTCATAAGCAGCCACTTTGCATAAAAAAGGGGTTCGTCCCCGGGTGGGCTCAAACCACCAACCTTTCGGTTAATAGCCGAACGCACTAGCCGATTGCGCCACGGAGGCTCAGTCGGAAGGAGAAAAAGAAAATTGATTTCATAATCTTTCATGCGCTTAAAATTTGGAACAGGGAAAAAGGTATTATTTGCAAAGTTATGACGAAGATTTAAATACCAAAACTGCAAAAAAAGATGTCATAATGGCATACCATGTGTAACATGGTTTTCAATGTGTATTATACGTACTTGATTTTCATATAGTAAAAAGACTGTTTTCATTAAAAAGCATTCGCCTCCGGGTGGGATCGAACCACCAACCTTTTTCATGAGCTTAAAATTCGGAACAGGGAAAAAGTTATTATTTGCGAAATTATGTCTAAGGTTTAAATACCAGAACACAAAAACGATGTTGCAATGACATACTAGGTTTAACTTGGTTTTCGGTATGTTTTATACGTACTGGATTTTCATAAAAATTAAACAGCCTCTTTTCATTAAAAAGCATTCACCCCCAGGGGGGGCTCGTACCACCAAAGTTTCAGTTAACAGCCGAACGCGCTAGCCGATTGCACCGCGGAGGCTCTGTTACAGAGGAAAAAAAGAAAAATTGATGTCATAATATTTTAAGAGCTTAAAAAGTTATTATTTGCAAAGTTATGTCTTAGGATTAAATACCAGAACAGTAAAAAATGATAATGCAATGACATACTAGGTGTAACATGGTATTTGGTGTGTATTATACGTGTTGGATTTTCATAAAGTATATATATAATCAGCCTCTTTTCATTAAAAAGCTTTCGCCCACACGGGAGAGCTTGAAACACAAATCTTTCGGTTTACAGCCGAACGCGCTAGCCTATTGCGCCAAAGTGGCTCTGTTACAAAGAAAAAAGTAATATTCATGTCATAATCTTTCATGAGCTTAAAATTTTTAACCGCGAAAAAGTTATTATTTGCAAAGTTATATCTTAGATTTATATACCAGAACTACAAAAAACGATGTTGCAATGAAATACTATGTGTAACATAGTATTCGGTGTGTATATTTTATACGTACTAGATTTTCATAAAGTAAACAGCCTCTTTCCTATAAGGGGGTCACCTCACAAAAATCCGGGTGAAAATCGATTTTTCAAGTTTGATTGAAAAATAAAATCCCACTCTTTTTCTTTTGAATGCAATTTAAATTTTGGTTCTAACTGAATTAGAAGTATTTTTAATATTTTTTTAAAAAGTTGTTTACACCTGTCAAACCCCAAAACAGCGGATCGCCACGCCCCCCTCAAATCAAAACAAAAGACACATGCTACTTTTCAGCCTTTTCAAATAGTTTAAATTGATTAGAAGAATTTATTTTGATCAGCAATTTATTCAGGAAAGAAGTGAAGTGAATAGTTGTAGATGCTTGTTTACTTTTTAACAGCCGCATTTTATTTTCTTAACTCATTAAATACAACGAATTTCTGCTATCGTGTGGAATAGTGTTTTCCATCAAAAACAATAATGATAAAATGTTTAAAAAACGTTTTTACAACTCGGTTAAATAATAAAACGCTTTAAAAACGAAAGTTTGGAAAAAAATGTACAAAAACCCAAACTTTCGATGAATTAAACGTTGCATAACAGTCAGACGATTTCAACAAAAATAATTCAGCTTTAAAAGCAAAGTTAGGTAAGTTTAATAAAGAGTATGTTTCTTTTTTGATTCATTTGAATGTTTCTATGAAATGACTGACACTGAATTGTTTTCTTTGTTTTGAAACAACATTAAAAACAAAAAATAAAATGAAAAAACCAAGGAACCATAAATTTTGGTTACAAAATTGTTAATAATTTGGACTTTTGTGGTCTTATTCAAATTTTTTTAATATCAGGTTTACTAAAACAGTAGTTTAAAAAAAAAGATACAAAATTATAGAAGGAAAAATGACTTTCATGTGCTATGGGTATATTAAAAGAAGGTTAAAAAATATTTTGGGAGTTATAATTTGTCACCTACACAAAGGGGTTTTTTGATTCCTTACTTAAATAACGCGACAGAAAAGAACAAATGGACTTAGCTCCCGCCGAAACGATATATTTAAAATGGATGCTAAAATTTATCTGTTATCGATGGTACCTGGAAAAAAAAGGGCCAAAATTTATAAAAAAATTGTTGTTGGCAGTTAGTTTGGACACTGGGAAGGTTTTGATACTGAAATATTGTCGTGGAAATGTTCATGAAATTTTTAACGCAATGTATATAGCGATGATGGGGAAGTTACATTGTAAATATAGGGAACGAAATTTTGAAGAGATGTACTTTTTTTTTGTATTTTAATCGCTCACAGAAACCCCTTCTCCATATAAAAATATTTGGACTCTATGGGGACCAAAAGCATACAAAGCAGTTTGAATCAAACCTTAAAAATATGTCAATATTGAAAAAAATTGAATGTGTTGGTCTGTTGTGAGAAAAAAGATGGGGTGACTTGGGGGGTTAAAATAAAATTGGCAAACAGTATGAGGACATAAAATTTAGGATGCCATAATGGTTTACAGATACATAAATAGACAAATTTTAAAGATCTATGTTTCGGCTATTCAAAAAAACGGGAAACTTGCGCCATAATGCAAGCTATTTAGATTGTATTTTTGATAAAATCTCCACAAAGAATCTATACACGGTTAATGCCCCATTGAATGACTTGTCTGTATATATAATATGTCCAAACGAAAAGGGTTCACATATGCAAAACAAACTTACCTATTCTTTAAAAATTTCATAAAAAAAAATTTAGAGGTCCTTTGTCTTGAAATTTTATCTAAAGCTATTAATAAAACCCCAAAAAATTTGTGAAAGGGGAAAAATATTTGGGTATAATTAAAAAAATGTATTTGTGCAGTTGGGAACTTTTTTAAAATAAGTATATGAAGCTATATATTTTATAATTAAAGTTTATTACCAAATTAAAAGTTTTAGATGTATTAAACATTTAATCCCGATTTTTCAAATGTCGAGCGTTCAAAAAGTAATTATGGGTATTAGAAAAGCGAATAGGCAGTTTTACAATGAACCGAAGCTGAATTAAAAAAAAACAATTAAAATGTAGACAAGAAGATGATCTTGCAGATGACACCACAATCCAAGTTATAGTTCTGGTATGCATTAAAAGGTAAATTTTACTTTAAATCTCTATTTCTCAAAAGTGTAAATTTCAACACAAAAGGAACATTTTTGAAAACACTACTTATTTTATAGCCTTGATACTTTGCACATGTGTTAACACAATATAAATGAATATTTTAATGAGAGATTTTGTCAAAAAAATTATTCAAAAAATATTTATGGATTAAAATATACAAGAATTTTCATCGTTTTAAAAATGTTCACGTGTTACTCCACATATGAATTTTTTTAAAAAAAACTAATCAAAATTTTGAAAAATGCTCCCATTAAAATATAATAAAAACAATACAATGAATACACAAAAAAACATTCATGACTGTACAACCTGCCAATTTTTAAAAAATTTTCCTTAAACTTGGTCATTTTTAACATTACGGAGATAGGGAAAATGCTGCGTGAAGTGACCCCCTTAAAAAGCTTTTGCCCCCGGGTGGGCTCGAAACACAAACCTTTCGGTTTACAGCCGAACGCGCTAGGCGATTGCGCCACGGAGGCTACATTGCAGAGCAAAAACGAAAAATTGATGTCATAATCTTTCATGAGCTTAAAATTTGGAACAAGGAAAAAGTTATTACTTGCAAAATTATGTCTAAGGTTTAAAGACCAGAACTCTAAAAAATGATAATGCAATGACATACTAGGTGTAACATGGTATTGAGTTTGTATTATACTTGCTGGATTTACATAAAGTAAACTGCCACTTTGCATAAAATAGCGTTCGCCCCAGGATGGGCTCGAACCACCAACCTTTCGGTTAAAAGCCGAACGCGCTAGCCGATTGCGCCACGGAGGTTCCGTTGCAGAGGTAAAACGAAAAATTGATGTCATCATCTTTCATGGGCTTTAAATTTGGAACAGGGAAAAGTTATTATTTGCAAAGTTATGTCTAAGGCTTAAATACCAGAACTGTAAAAATTGATAATACAATGACATACTAGGTGTAACATGGTATTCAGTTTGTTTTATACTAGCTGGATTTTCATAAAGTAAACAGCCACTTTGCATAAAAGAGGGGATAGCCCCCGGATGGTCTCGAACCACCAACCTTTCGGATAACTGCTGAACGCGGTAGCCGATTGCGACACGGAAACTCTGTTACAGAGAAAAAAGTAAAATTGATGTCATAATCTTTCATGAGCTTAAAATTTTTAACCGCGAAAAATTTATTATTTGCAAAGTTATATCTTATATTTATCTACAAGGACTGCAAAAAACGATGTTGCAATGAAATACTAGGTGTAACATGGTATTTGGTGTGTATTATACATACTTGATTTTCATAAAGTATAAAAACAGTCTCATTTCATTAAAAAGCATTCGCCTCCGGGTGGGCTCTAAACACCAATATTTCGGTTAACAGCCGAACGCGCTTGTCGATTACGCCTCGGAAGCTCTGTTACAAAGAAAAAAAGAAAAATTGATGTCATAATCTTTCATGAGCTTAAAATTCGGAACAGGGAAAAAGTTTTATTTAGAAAGTTATTTCTAAGGTTTAAATACCAGAACACAAATAAATAATGTTGCAATGACATACTAGGTTTAACATGGTATTCGGTATGTATTATACGTTCTGCATTTTCATAAATTATAAGCAGCCTCTTTTCATTAAAAAGCTTTCGCCTCCAGTTGGGCTCGAACCACCACCCGTTTGGTGAACAGCCGAACGAGCTAGCCGATTACGCCTTGGAGGCTCTTTTACGAATGTAAAAGAAAAATTGATGTCATAATCTTTCATCAGCTTAAAACTTGGAACAGGGAATAGTTATTATTTGCAAAGTTATGTCTAAGGTTTGAATACCAGAACAGTAAAAAATGATAATACATTGACATTCTAAGTCTAACATGGTATTCAGTGTGCATTAAACGTGCTGGGTTTTCATGAGCAGCCACTTTGCTTAAAAAAGGGGTTTGCACCTGGGTGGGCTCGAACCATAAACCTTTCAGTTGTTGGCCGAACGCGCTAGCCGTTTGCGCCACGGAGGTTTTGTTACAGAGAAAAAACGTAAAATTGATGTCATCTTTCATGAGCTTACAATTTGGAACAGGAAAAAGTTATTATTTGCAAAGTTATGTTTAAGGTTTAAATAACAGAAGAGTAAAAAATGATAATGCAATGACATACTAGGTGTAACATGGTATTCGGTGTGTATTATACGTACTGGACTTTCATAAAGTAAACAGCCTCTTTTTAGTAAAAAGCTTTCGTAGTGGGTGGGCTCGAACCACCGATTAACAGCCGAACGGGCTAGCCTATTGCGCCACGGAGGCTCTGTTACAGAGAAGAAAAGAAAAAATGATGTCACAATCTAGAAGGTTAAAAATTTGGGACGGGAAATGCTTTTTTAAAGTTTTTCTAAGGTTTAAATCCCCGAACAGAAAAAAATATAATCAATGACATCTACTCAAATTATTCGGTGGTATTATACTCTGGATTTTCATAAAGTATTAAAGCCCTTTATTAAAATTTTTTGGGGGGCTGAACCACCAACCTTTGGTTAAAAGCCGAAACCCCTAGCCATTGCGCCACGGGGCTCTGTCACAAAAAAAAAAAGTAAAATTGTTTTAAAAATCTTTCAAAGCTTAAAAGTTTTAAACAAAAAAAGTTATTAGAAAGTTATATCTTGGTTTATATCCCAGAACTGTTTTGAAAAAAAGGTGAGCTATGGAATATAGGTGAAATATATTTTTCGTGTTATACGTACTGGATTTTAAAAAAGTAAACAATTTTTGTTTTAAAAGGGTTTCCCCCCCGGGTGGCTCACCCCAACCTTCCGTTAACAGCAAACCCGGCTTGCCTAGCGCCACAAAGGCTCGGGTAACACAAAAAAAAGGAAAAGATTCACACCTTTGAAGAGTTTTAAAATTTTAAAAAAGGGGTTAATATTTACAAAGTTAGAAAAATGATAAATACCAGAACATAAAAATGATAATGAAAGACGTACTAGGTGTAACGGTATTCGCTGTGTATTATACTTCAGGTTTTCAAAAGTAAACACCTTTTTTTCATTAAAAAATCTTGCCCCCCTTGGGGGGCTGTTCCAAACCTTTCGGTTAACAGTCAACGCAAAGCCGTTTGGGGGAAAGGGCCCGTTTAACAAAACAAAATTGCTGCCCCTTTTATAAATTAAAATTTAAACCCGGGGGAAAAGTTATTACTTCAAAGTTATGTCAAAGGTTTAAAACCAAACAAAAAAATGATAATGCAATGACATACTATTTAAAATGAATTCGAGTTTGTATTATACGTGTTGGATTTCCACAAAGTATATATATATAAACAGCCTCTTTTTATTAGAAAGCTTTCATCCCCGGGTGGGATCGAACCACTAACCTTTCAGTTAACAGCCGAACGCACTAGCCGATTGCGCCACGGAGTCTCTGCTACACAGAAAAAAAGTAAAATTGATGTCATAATCTTTTATGAGCTTAAAATTTTTAACCACGAAAAAGTTATTATTTGCAAAGTTATATCCTAGGTTTATATACCAGAACTGTCAAAAAAGGATGTTGCAATTGAATACTAGGTGTAACATAGTATTCAGTGTGTATTATAACTACTGGATTTTCATAAAGTAAACAGCCAGTTTGCATAAAAAATGGTTTCGCCCCCGGGTGAGAGCGAACCACCAACCTTCCGGTTAACAGCCGAACGCGCTACCCGATTGCGCCAAGGATTCTCTGTAACAGATAAAAAAAGAAAAATTGATGTTAAAATCTTTGAAGAGCTTAAAATTTTGAACAGGGAAAAAGTTATTATTTGCAAAGTTATGTTTAAATACCAGAACAGTAAAAAATGATAATGCAATGACATACTAGGTATAATATGGTATTTGGTGTGTATTATATGTAATGGGTTTTCATAAAGTAAACAGCCTCTTTTCATTAAAAAGCTTACGCCCCCAGATGGATTCGAACCACCAACCTTTCGGTTAACAGCCGAACGCGGTAGCCGATTTTTCCACGGAGGGTCTGTAACAGAGACCAAATAAAAAATTGATGACACAATCTTTGAAGAGCCTAAAATTTGGAACAGGGTAAAAGTTATTATTTGCAAAGTTATGTCTAAGGTTTAAAGACCAGAACTGTAAAAAATGATAATGCAATGACATACTATGTATAACATGGTGTTCGCGCGCGAGTTTGTATTATACGTGCTTGATTTTCACAAAGTATATCTATATATAAACAGCCTCTTTTCATTAAAAAGCTTTCGCCGAGGGTGGGCTCGAACCACCAAACTTTCGGGCAACGGCCAAACGCGCTAGCCGATTGCGCCACGGAGGGTCCGTTTGAGCAAAAACGAAAAATTGCTGTCATAATCTTTCATGAGCTTAAAATTTGGAACACGGAAAAAGATGTTACTTGCAAAGTTATGTGTAAGGTTTAAATACCAGAACAGTAAAAAAAGATTCAGCAATGACATACTAGGTGTAACATGGTATTCGGTATATATTATACGTAATGGATTTTCATATAGTATATATATATATAAACAGCTTCTTTTCATTAAAATGCTTTCACCCCAGGGGTAGCTCGAACCATCACCCTTCCGGTTAACAGCCGAACGCGGTAGCCGATTGCGCCACGGAGGCTCTGTAACAACGAAAAAAAGAAAAATTGATGTCTCAGTCTTTGAAGAACTTAAAATTTGTAACAGGGAAGAAGTTATTATTTGCAAAGTTATGTCTAAGGTTTAAATAACAGAACAGTAAAAAATGATAATGCAATGACATACTATGTATAACATGGCAATCGAGTTTGTTGTATACGTGCTGGATTTCCACAAAATATATATATAAACAGCCTGTTTTCATTAAAAAGGTTTCGCCCCCGGGTCGGTTTGAACCACCAACCTTTCGGTTAACAGACGAACGCGCTAGCCGATTGCGACACGGATTCTCTGTTATAGAGATAAAAGAAAAATTGATGTCACACTCTTTGAAAAGCTTAAAATTAATAACATCGAAAAAGTTATTTTTTGCAAAGTTATGTCTAAGGTTTAAATACCAGAATAGTAAAAAATGATAATGCAACGACATACTAGGTGTAACATGTTATTCGGTGTGTATTATACGTAGTGGATTTGCATAAAGGGTATATATATATAAACAGCTTCCTTTCATTAAAAAGCTTTCGCCCCCGGACTTGCTCGAATTACCAACCTTTCGGTTGACAGCCGAACGCGCTAGCCGACTGCGCCACGGAGGCTCTGTAACTGAGAAAAAAAGAAAAATTGATGTCTCAATCTTTTGAAGAGCTTAAAGTTTTTACTGAGATAAAATTTATTTTTTGCAAAGTTATGTCCAAAGTTTAAAGACAAGAACTGTAAAAAATGATAATGCAATGACATACTAGGTGTAATATGGCATTCGGTGTGTATATATTATACGTATGCTGGATTTTTATATATAAAGTATATATATATATAAACAGCCTCGTTTCATTAAAAAGCTTTCGCCCCCGGGTAAGCTCGAACCATCAACCTTTCGGTTAACAGCCGAACGCGCTAGCCGATTGCGCCACGGAGGCTCATTTATAGAGAAAAAAGAAAAATTGATGTCACAATCTTTGAAGAGCTTAAAATTTGTAACAGGGAAAAGTTATTTTTTGCAAAGATATGTCTAAGGTTTAAAGACAAGAACTGTAAAAAATGATAATGCAATGACATACTATGTGTAACATGGTATTCAGTTTGTATTATACGTGCTGAATTTTCATAAAGTGAACATCCACTTTTGCGTGTGCTCTCGCCCCCGGGTGGGATCGAACCACCAACCTTTCGGTTAACAGCCGAACGCGCTAGCCGATTGCGCCACGCAGACTCTGTAACTGAGAAAAAAAGAAAAATTGATGTCAAAATTTTTGAAGAGCTTAAAATTTGGAACAGGGAAAAAGATATTATTTGCAAAGTAATGTCTAAGTTTTGAATACCAGAACAGTAATAAATGATAATGCAACGACATACTAGATGTAACATGGTATTCCGTGCGTATTATACGTACTGGATTTTCATAAAATGTAAACAGCCTCTTTTCATTAAAATTCTTGCTCTCCCTGGTCTGGTCGTACCACCAACTCTTCGGTTAACAATCGAACGCGCTAGCCGAATTGGCCACGGAGGGTTTGTAACAGAGACCAAAAGAAAAATTGATGTCACAATCATTGAAGAGCTTAAAATTTAGAGCAGGGAAAAAGTTATTATTTGTAAAGTTATGTCTAAGGTAGAATGACCAGAACTGTAAAAAATGATAATGCAATGACATACTATGTATAACATGGTATTCGAGTTTGTATTATACGTGCTGATTTTCACATATATATAACCAGCCTCTTTTCATAGAAAAGCTTTCGACCCCGGGTGGGCTCGAACCACCAACCTTTCGGTTATCAGCCGATTGCGCCACGGAGGCTCCGTTTGAGCAAAAACGAGAAATTGCTGTCATAATCTTTCATGAGCTTAAAATTTGGAACAGGGAAAAAGGTACATTTGCAGTTATGTCTAAGGTTTAAAGACCAGAACTGTAAAAATAATAATGCAATGACATACTATGTGTAACATGGTATTCAGTTTGTATTATACATGCTGGATTTTCATAAAGTGAACAGCCACTTTGCATAAAAAAGAGTTTCGCCCCCGGGGGGGCTCGAACCACCAACCTTTCGGTTTACAGCCGAACTCGCTAGCCGATTGCTCCACGGAGGCTCCGTTTGAGCAAAAACGAAAAATTACTGTCATAACCTTTCATGAGCTTAAAATTTGGAACAGGGAAAAAGTTATTATTTGCAAAGTTATGTCTAAGGTTTAAATACCAGAACAGTAAAAAATGATAATGCAATGACATACTAGGTGTAACATGGCATTCGGTGTGTATTATACGTACTGAATTTTCATAAAGTATATATATATATATATATATAAACAGCCTCTTTTCATTAAAAAGATTTCGCCCCGGGCTGGGTTCGAACCTCCAACCTTTCGGTTAACAGCCGAACGCGCTAGCCGATTGCGCCACGGGCTCCGTAACTGAGAAAAAAAGAAAAATTGATGTCACAATCTTTTGAAGAGCTTAAAATTTGGAACAGGGAAAAAGTTATTTTTGCAAAAGTTATTCTAAGGTTTAAGACCAGAACTGTAAAAATGATAATGCAATGACATACTATGTGTAACATGGTATTCAGTTTGTATTATACGTGCTGGATTTTCATAAAGTGAACAGCCACTTTGCATAAAAGGTTTCGCCCCGGGTGGGCTCGAACCACCAACCTTTCGGTTAACAGCCGAACGCGCTAGCCGATTGGCCACGGAGGCTCCTTTGAGAAAAAGAAAAATTGTGTCAAATCTTTAGAGCAAAAATTTTGGGAACAGGAAAAGTTATTATTGCAAAGTTATGTTTTAAGGTTTAAATACCAGAACGTAAAAATGATAATGCAAGACATACTAGGTGTAACATAGTATTCTGTGTGTATTATACGTCTGGATTTTCATAAAGTAAAAAACACCCCTTTTTTTCTTTAAAAAGTTCGCCCCGGGTTGGCTCGAACCACCAACCTTTCGGTTAACAGCCGAAGCCTAGCCGATCCCACGGAGGCTCTTTGGAAAAAGAAAAATTGATGTCACAATCTTTGAAGAGCTTAAAATTTGAACAGGGAAAAAGTTATTTTTGCAAAGTTATGTCAAAGGGTTTAAAACCAGAACTGTAAAATGATAATGCAATGACATACTATGTTAACATGGTATTCAGTTTGTATTATACGTGCTGGATTTTCATAAAGTGAACATCCACTTTGCATAAAGGTTTCGCCCCGGGTGGGCTCGAACCCCCAAACCCTTTTTCGGTTAACAGCAAAACCCGCGCTAGCCGATTGCGCCACGGAGGCTCTGTTGAGAAAAAGAAAAATTGATGTCACAATCTTTGAAGAGTTTAAAAATTTTGGGAACGGGGAAAAGTTATTATTTCAAAAGTTATGTCCTAAGGTTTAAAGACAGAACTGTAAAAATGATAATGCAATGACATACTATGTTAACATGGTATTCAGTTTGTATTATACGTGCTGGATTTTCATAAATAAATCCCTTTCATTAAAAGGGGTTCCCCCCGGGGTGAGTCGAAACCCACCAACCTTTGGTTAACAGCCGAACGCGCTAGCCGATTGCGCCACGGAGGCTCTTTAAGAGAAAAGAAAAATTGATGTCAAATCTTTAAGAGTTTAAAAAATTTGGAACAGGGAAAAAGTTATTATTTGCAAAGTTATGTCTAAGGTTTAAACCCAGAACAGTAAAAATGATAATGCAATGACATACTATGTGTAACATGGATTCAGTTTGTATTATACGTGCTGATTTTCAAAATTTAATATATAAAAAAAGCCTCTTTCATTAAAAGTTTCCCCCGGGGTGGGTCGAACCACAACCCTTTTCGGTTAACAGCCGAACGCGCTAGCCGATTTCGCCACGGAGGCTCCATTTGAGCAAAAACGAAAAATTGCTGTCATAATCTTTCATGAGCTTAAAATTTTTAACCACGAAAAAGTTATTATTTGCAAAGTTATATCTTAGGTTTATATACCAGAACTGACAAAAAAGGATGTTGCAATGGAATACTAGGTGTAACATAGTATTCTGTGTGTATTATACGTACTGGATTTTCATAAAGTAAACAGCCACTTTGCATAAAAAATGGTTTCGCCCCGGGGGGGCTCGAACCACCAACCTTTCGGTTAACAGCCGAACGCGCTAGCCGATTGCGCCACGGAGGCTCTGAACGAAAAAAGAAAAATTGATGTCACAATCTTTGAAGAGCTTAAAATTTGGAACAGGGAAAAAGTTATTTTTGCAAAGTTATGTCTAAGGTTTAAATACCAGAACAGTAAAAATGATAATGCAATGACATACTAGGTGTAACATGGTATTCGGTTTGTATTATACGTCTGGATTTTCATAAAATTTAACCCTTTCTTTAAAATTCTCGCCCGGGTGGGCTCGAACCCCCAAACCCTTTTCGGTTAAGCGAACGCGCTAGCCGATTGCGCCACGGAGGCTCTGTTAATAGAGAAAAAGAAAAATTGATGTCACAATCTTTGAAGAGCTTAAAATTTGTAACAGGAAAAGTTATTTTTGCAAAGTTATGTCTAAGTTTAAAACCCAAGAACGTAAAAATGATAATGCAATGACATACTATGTATAACATGGTATTCGAGTTTGTATTATACGTGCTGGATTTTCACAAAGTATATATAAATAGCCTCTTTTCATTAAAAAGCATTCGCCCCCGGGTGGGCTCGAACCACCAACCTTTCGGTTAACAGCCGAACGCGCTAGCCGATTGCGCCACGGACTCGTTAGAGAAAAAGAAAAATTGTGTCATAATCTTTGAAGAGCTTAAAATTTGGAACAGGGAAAAAGTTATTATTTGCAAAGTTATGTCTAAGGTTTAAAGACCAGAACTGTAAAATGATAATGCAACGGCATACTATGTATAACATGGTATTCGGTTTGTATTATACGTGCTAAATTTTCATAAAGTATAATAAATTTATAAATGGGTTATCCCTTTCAAAAAACCCCCCCCCCCCCCCCCCCCCCCCCCCCCCCCCCCCCCCCCCCCCCCCCCCCCCCCCCCCCCCCCCCCCCCCCCCCCCCCCCCCCCCCCCCCCCCCCCCCCCCCCCCCCCCCCCCCCCCCCCCCCCCCCCCCCCCCCCCCCCCCCCCCCCCCCCCCCCCCCCCCCCCCCCCCCCCCCCCCCCCCCCCCCAAAAAAAAAAAAAAAAAAAAAAAAAAAAAAAAAAAAAAAAAAAAAAAAAAAAAAAAAAAAAAAAAAAAAAAAAAAAAAAAAAAAAAAAAAAAAAAAAAAAAAAAAAAAAAAAAAAAAAAAAAAAAAAAAAAAAAAAAAAAAAAAAAAAAAAAAAAAAAAAAAAAAAAAAAAAAAAAAAAAAAAAAAAAAAAAAAAAAAAAAAAAAAAAAAAAAAAAAAAAAAAAAAAAAAAAAAAAAAAAAAAAAAAAAAAAAAAAAAAAAAAAAAAAAAAAAAAAAAAAAAGAAAATGATAAATCTTGAAGAGCTTAAAATTTGAACAGGAAAAGTTATTTTGAAAGTTTTTCAAGTTTAAAACAAAGTAAAAAATGATAATGCAATGACATATATGTAACATGTATTCAGTTTGTATTATATGCTGGATTTTCATAAAGTGAACACCACTTTATGGGTTTCCCCCG